TGGAAACAATTGGAAGAGGGTGAGGATCAACATGTGAAAGGTAGCAATCGGCTAGCGTGTCATGGTTGACAACAAAGCCGATTCTCCCTCGCTTACAGGCCACCCCTCTACACCTGTGAAGCGACCTCAAATAAATACCAAAGTGCAGCTTGAGAGAAATTTGTTTGTGTTTATACAGCATTGCTTGCATGTTGGGGCAATATGGGGATGTTGGTCTGCTTTAGGGCTGGTAGAACACAGATCGGTAGCGCCAACAGTGGCACATAGCGCCAACGGTTGGACTGCAGGTGGGGGTCGTATCTCACATCACTGTTCAGATGCAAGGAGGAAAGGATATATCTGCTGCTAATTGTTGTTAAGGGGAAGGATTGTGTCTGTTTAGATACAGAATCCACTTGATAATCATCTTGTAAGGTTTACTGTTGCTGCTTTTGATGTGATGAATGTGGTACAGCAGATTCAGATGTACATGCTGTAAACATTGTCCAGACTGATTACTTAGTCCGGGACACAAATACTTAGGTTCAGTCTAAGTGAAAGTAAAACCTATTGCAGAAAACTCCAGTGTCTTCAAAATAGATAATGTTAGGATCTTTAGAACTATTTGCAACAGATGAAAAGGACTGTGATACATAATCACAGCAAATTCTAATGTAACTAATTCAAGTTAAAAGTGTGAAATGTATGTTTTGTTTAATGTCACACTCAGCAATATTCCAGCTTATGATGGCAGTTTGTCAATAATGGCATCTGGACCAGACAATCTAGTGATTAATATCATGAGCAACAACACACACCGTTGGGGGAAGATGACATGAAATCAACCAAGTCACCGAGTGGGGCCACCAGATCTATAAGTAGCCTCTGGGAACCAATTTTAACCTGAAATCCACACGGAGATAGTAAATGCATGTTTAACAAAGAAGTCCTTAAATGTTTCTGTTACACATGATGTTCTTATGTAAATAAATTCCTTCAAAGCAGTTTGGTAAAAAATGTCAGGCTAAAACATCCAATTTCTGGTAAATTAATACAGGGTTTTAACTTGGACTTTCGTATCCCATGTTGTTGAAACAGGAATGTAGTCCATGAAGGAGTTCCATGCATAGAAAGACTCTGTCCAAAAGCATATGGTATCTGGGATATATAGCCTGTATCTTATACCACAGGTGTATTATCATGTTACATCGGGGTATAAGACCAACTATCCACTACCAGTAAACAATCAGACACGCACACATATCTGCCACATTGTTCAAACCCCAGACACTACTTGACTCTTAGGTGATGGAGTAAATTCAAGCAAGAATTCAAAGTTTTTAGATTTGAAAGTTCACTGTGCATTATTTGTCAACATAACTTCAAGGCTACAAATATCTGAGATTGTGAACTTTATCATGAAAATATCAGCCGAGTAGGATTGCCATGGCTATTTTGTGAAAAAGCATTAACAGAAAGATTACCTAAACATTGCAATACATTGCAGGCTTCTAAAACATCATAATGATCAACACATTTGTCAGTTTAACCCTGGTTCTCATAGCCACCCCATTGATGCCGACATAGCTATGCCTTCTTGAACTTCTACACTTATCACCTAATGTCAAACAAGTTTTCAATATATTTTTTTTCCATACAAATCCTTAACACAATTGAAAACATCATGACAACCTGCAACATTTAACACTGGTTAAACTTGGATAAAGGATAAACTTGGTTGGAGGTTTAGGAGCATGACTTTTATATTCTAATATAATAAGATAAGGAGGAGGGTGAGAGAAAAAAAAGAGAAAAGAATACCATGTATTAAACTAATTTCGTAACAATGGGATATTGATGGACTTTTCTAGTTTCTTTCATGAGCAGTGACCTTATCAAATATATTTTTAGGCAGTATAGGTAAACATTATTCAGTATCTGTTAACCCTTTATGCTTCAGTAGGATAACCAACCAGTGTTATCTTTCAATAATTTGTTCTTTTCCCCTGATAACTGTCCCTCATTATGACAATTTCTGAAAACAAGATGGTCACAGACAAGTATAAGGACTACCCACCCCTCAGTAACCATTCTAACTAACCTTTGTGACAAGCATGGCTCTTTGGAGAGTGAGTGAGTATGGTTTTAAGCGGCTTTTTGCAATATTCCAGTAGTATCATGGTTGGGGACACCAGAAATGGGCTTCACACATAGTACCGATGTCGGGAATCAAACCTGGGTCTTCGGCGTGACAAACGAACGCTTTAACCACTAGGCTACCCAAACGCCCCGGTTTTTTGGAGAACAATCATTAGGTAACCTAAATCTTGATGGCAGACTCTCCATCAACATGTATTCTACCTGTTCCACTTTCCCCTGTCAGAGCAGGTACTCCATGTTAGTTCTTGTAAGGTTTGCTGTAACTACCAATTGCTAGGTAGGGCACAATCTCAGCGAGACATGACATGACATGACATGACATGACTGACAGTCGTACATCTGATATGGAGGTAGTTTTCACCCAAGTGATGTCCTAGATGCCAACATGCCTTGTCAGTCTGACACTGATGAAGCAGCATGTATTGGGAATAGGTCTTCATCCAGGGTCTACTTTACACAACAAGTTTTGCTTCAATGTCTACTTCAGTGAGTGAGTTGGAGCAAAATGCCAATGTTGGTTGACATTACTTTCAGAATCCCAAAGTCATGAAACTAAAGATAGCTGCTAACAGTTGCCACCCAAGTGACTTAATGGGTTGGGGTTAATACCACACTCAGCAATGTTTCAGTTATATGAATGTGGCCTGTAGATAATCCAATCTGGACCAGACAATCCAGTGATTCATATTCCAAATAACGATCCACACTCTCTGGGTAAGATGACTTGCCATGAAACAGGTCACCTGGCCATCCAATCCATTTGATTGCCTCTTACGACCAGCACAGGTTGCTTAAAGGGGGAATTACAGGGAGAGTGTGCACTATGATTCAGTGCCCATTTCAGTCTAAGTCTAATTGCTGTATGTAGTGACTTGTGTCCAATAAAGTCATTGTATGTATGACCACCGTCACATTGCTGGACTATTGTTGAGTGTTATGATCTGAGAACAGATCTGAGAACAGATCCCAGATCCCCGATTGAAAAAGTGTTTAATAAAGAAGGATGTATGTGTCATGTTTGTGATAACAATTCTTTATTCTAGTTCACTCAACAAGCATGATACACCTGTGGAATCAACATATGGCTACTGTTATCAGGCCTGTATGACACAAAATAGTTGTGTATAATATGTGCACATCATTGGCAGATGCTACTGTTAACCAACTTCTAAAATTCATCCAGTAATGGCTGATAAAAATATAATTTAACTGAGACAGAATGAGCCATTTCTTTCGACCTGATCCCAAATGTTTAGATTTGATTGAGTGAAAAGAAGAAGATCCCATGAACATCACTGGTTAATGGAAAACAATTTGAACTATTTACCTACATTCCGATCCAAAATCGTGTTTACTAGGATCGAAGTAGTGTAGAGCTAATTGGTATGCAGGAATAGCAGTCCTAATCTGTCATACAAGTGTCGGTATAATCCTGGACTACCGCATCGTGGCGCGGTCCTCCTCCCATACTGAAGCCACAGGGACGGTCTGTTGTTTACTTGAGCTTTACTCCAAAGCCATTTCAAGCCAAACTCATTCCACAAACAATTACATCAAAGACAATACAGAGTTGCTGGTTAATTAACCGTGGTTATCACTTCGTGAAATGCATGTCTGGACAATACCTCCCTGGCAGGCTTACTCCAGTCTAATCCATGTCCAGTGTATTGGCATTTTGGACATGGTCATCACTGGCCCTGTAGGTGTAGAGGTCTTCAGACACACATCCAATGAGTTCATCATAACAAGGTGACAATGAATGAAAGTTATTACAAGTTGTAACGGAATCACGAGGGGTACATGGGGTTTTATGTGTCCCGCATTAGGTTTAACACCACGAGCCGGAGGTAACAGTGGTCAAGCTTCCGAGACAGGCCTAAGCTGGGAATCTGGGGTTATAAGTGATCTTCACACAAAAGCTGGGAATCTGGGGTTATAAGTGATCTTCACACAAAAGCTGGTCTTGATGCAATGTCAGATGAATTGTGAGTTGAGACAGACTATATAAGTGGAGCGGGCACATGCGTAACTAGCTTCCAACACTTTCGTCAGTGCTAGACCAGTTCAATTTCACTTGGACATCACAAAATTCTCCACTTGTTTCTGTAATGCTTGACATCCATCCATGCTATTTCGGAAGTTTACAGATAATTCAAGCATCTAAATATTATTACTTCCTCACCACTGCTTACATTAAATAATACTGCATTCCTAACAACTAATCATTGTCCAAATACAATGAAATGAACTTTCTCAACAGAAACAATTTAATACGGTTACAATCATTGTTTAACAATATATACAAACTGCCAAATGACGGAATGGTGGTGTTAAAGCATAAACAGTTGGACACAATATCCTGTTTGTAGTGTGTAATTGGTGTAAGCATGGACTGACAGCTCACATACATCCTTAATGCATTACTGCAGACACTGTATGCAAGGCCATAATAAACTAATTATTAGATTTTATTCACCACCACCACCAAACACTTTGCCTCACATTTTGTCTGTCCCTAAAAATGTACAGAACTGGATTCTCTCTACTTGATCAAATACCCATGCTTTTAGTGAATCACATTTGTCAGTAAATCACTGGATTGTCTGGTCCAAACTCGATTATTTACAGACCACCATCATACAGCTGGAATACTGCTGACAGCGGCATTAAACAACAAATAAACACAACAAAAAATTAAACACATTCGTCAACAGCTGATGAACACTTGAATAATTTGTATTAAAAAGATGAAACAGAAAAGATAAAACGTCTCAAGTCTAAGTTATTTCTTAAAATTTGGATGAAAATTAAATAATTAATTAAGAGTGGCCTAATAGAGATATGGTATAATTTGTACTCACCACACCATTACAGAGCGATAATGCTGCCATGGAGTCGTCATGTGACAGAACCTTCCCCCGATACATGCAGTCCGACTCAGCACCAGACACGCTGTCAGTGTCCACATGACTCAAGTTGGAGGGTTTCCGGTGATATACCTTGAACCCTGGCGCTAGCAGCTTCCTGTTGAGACTGAGTTTGAGATGAAAATGGATGCTATCTCCTGTGAGGTTGAGGTACAGGTCTCGGACTGTCCCAGGATCAGCACTGCGACGATGGCGGACAGTTTGGGCAGGATCATCAGACAGTAGGTTTCCGTTCACATCAACCTGGGATGGATACACCACAGAGTAGTCTGCAAGAAATAAAAAATATGATCAGACAATACAACAGAACCATGGACAATGTAACTCAACTGGTCTCACTGAAACCCTGCGCACTTGTCCTGATGGTCCCATCCCACTTGTCCTGATGGTCCTGATGGTCCCACCCCACTTGTCCTGATGGTCCCATCCCACTTGTCCTGATGGTCCCATCCCACTTGTCCTGATGGTCCCACCCCACTTGTCCTGATGGTCCCATCCCACTTGTCCTGATGGTCCCACCCCACCCCACCTGTCCTGATGGTCCCATCCCACCTGTCCTGATGGTCCCATCCTACTTGTCCTGATGGTCCCACCCCACTTGTCCTGATGGTCCCATCCCACTTGTCCTGATGGTCCCACCCCAATTGTCCTGATGGTCCCACCCGACTTGTCCTGATGGTCCCATCCCACTTGTCCTGATGGTCCCATCCCACTTGTCCTGATGGTCCCACCCCACTTGTCCTGATGGTCCCACCCCACCTGTCCTGATGGTCCCATCCCACCTGTCCTGATGGTCCCATCCTACTTGTCCTGATGGTCCCACCCCACTTGTCCTGATGGTCCCATCCCACTTGTCCTGATGGTCCCACCCCACCTGTCCTGATGGTCCCATCCCACTTGTCCTGATGGTCCCACCCCACTTGTCCTGATGGTCCCGACCGACTTGTCCTGATGGTCCCACCCCAATTGTCCTGATGGTCCCACCCCACTTGTCCTGATGGTCCCACCCCACTTGTCCTGATGGTCCCACCCGACTTGTCCTGATGGTCCCACCCGACTTGTCCTGATGGTCCCACCCGACTTGTCCTGATGGTCCCACCCCAATTGTCCTGATGGTCCCACCCGACTTGTCCTGATGGTCCCACCCCAATTGTCCTGATGGTCCCACCCCAATTGTCCTGATGGTCCCACCCAAATTGTCCTGATGGTCCCACCCCAATTGTCCTGATGGTCCCACCCGACTTGTCCTGATGGTCCCACCCCAATTGTCCTGATGGTCCCACCCCAATTGTCCTGATGGTCCCACCCAAATTGTCCTGATGGTCCCACCCCAATTGTCCTGATGGTCCCACCCGACTTGTCCTGATGGTCCCACCCCAATTGTCCTGATGGTCCCACCCCAATTGTCCTGATGGTCCCACCCCAATTGTCCTGATGGTCCCACCCAAATTGTCCTGATGGTCCCACCCCAATTGTCCTGATGGTCCCACCCCACTTGTCCTGATGGTCCCGACCGACTTGTCCTGATGGTCCCACCCCAATTGTCCTGATGGTCCCGACCGACTTGTCCTGATGGTCCCACCCCACCTGTCCTGATGGTCCCACCCCACTTGTCCTGATGGTCCCACCCCAATTGTCCTGATGGTCCCACCCCAATTGTCCTGATGGTCCCACCCCAATTGTCCTGATGGTCCCACCCCAATTGTCCTGATGGTCCCGACCGACTTGTCCTGATGGTCCCACCCCACCTGTCCTGATGGTCCCACCCCACTTGTCCTGATGGTCCCACCCCAATTGTCCTGATGGTCCCACCCCACTTGTCCTGATGGTCCCGACCGACTTGTCCTGATGGTCCCACCCCAATTGTCCTGATGGTCCCGACCGACTTGTCCTGATGGTCCCACCCCAATTGTCCTGATGGTCCCGACCGACTTGTCCTGATGGTCCCACCCCAATTGTCCTGATGGTCCCATCCGACTTGTCCTGATGGTCCCACCCCACTTGTCCTGATGGTCCCTTCCGACTTGTCCTGATGGTCCCACCGCACTTGCCCTAATGGTTTCACTGAAGCCCACCTCACTTGCCCTAATGGTTTCACTGAAGCCCACCTCACTTGCCCTAATGGTTTCACTGAAGCCCACCTCACTTGTCCTCATGACCACACAAGACCATCCTTTTCCATCTTGCCATAGGTGTCATAGGGGGAAAGTGAATTACCAGTATCCAAAAAGTAAAGTTAAATGTCAAAGTCACAGAGGAATATTTTCACTTGTATCTGTCACATAAAAATGGGAGCATCAAATTTGTGAGACTCGTTAGTAACGATTGGATACAGATATCATAAATGCTGTACCATGACTCGCTAAAAGTCATATTTGAGGCAGTTTGACTATTAAATGTCAACATAACATTTTCGCAATCGAAATACATGAAGTCCCTACGGTGACTGGTCAAATTGTTCCATATGTCAAAAAATATCCTGCATACCACCTGTCCCAAAGTGCTACGCTTATGGTTCTTATAATTTTTAGTATATATGGTGGAAGCTGCAACTAAAATAACACGATATTGGAATATATTATTCCTGATAAAATAATAATTTCAGATACAATTTCTTCCGACCATTGCATCAAAATTCTTTGAAGTTGTATCATTGGGTACGTTTTAACTAAATCACCGGCAGATTGGTAGGAAACATGTGCACAGCTGATTGCTATTTCCGGCTTAGTTTCAGTAATCTTAATCTCTGCATATAAAACAATGCCTTGGAGAGCAGGAAATACATTTTAAATGATAAATTATCATGTCTAGTGATGTTTTATATCAAATTTCATACTTTTATTGACCAAGTTTGTTATACCTGTTTATTCACCTGAATTCGCTGAAGGGATACTATAAAGCTCATCAATTGTTTGGACCCCGAAGGTAACGTTGTTTGTTTTTTAAAATGTCTGGACAGAAAAAATTTAAATGTCCGGTAAGCAATATTTTAAACCAGACATTTGAGATTCCCAATGGGACGTGTCTGGCGCATATGACCGTTTCCGGATCCCTGCTCGTTACTACATATTTCTGCTATCATTCACCAAAATTCTCAGTCAGATGGTCTTTGTACTTTTGGGCAAGTCTGTCACTGGTCTGATTTGGTCATATGATCATATCTGCAGCTGGTAAGTTAATCTGTCAAATTGTAAACTATGCTTCAGTTTGAAAGGTATTGCAGTTTAGAGACAATAATTATTTTTATAATAAATCAGTTAAGGCAAAGCAACTAATTTCATTTTGAATAATGTTTGCAAAAGTGGACACCCTAATGAAATTTGTTCAAAAACTCTTTCTTGTTCATTATATACAATATGATGATGCCTTAAACAAGCTTAACTCTTTGAATCACACACTGCCTGTGTATGATTTTATTGAAATAAATTTACACTACACAGGTAGCAAAACACTATTATATATAAAATTGTACCAGTGAAAACTTTTTCAATTTACACGTGTATGACAGATGGATGACTGGAAAGCCAACTCCTTGATTGAAGTTAAAATTATTCTAACATGGTGTCAGTTCACTTGAAATTGAATGCCACACTGTCATAAAACAAAGGAATGGCTTCTGCCGTGATATAAGGGAATTGGAACCTTTCTAGGTACATATGGTCCTCAATAAATGTCACATGACATGGAAGTGGAACAGATTACCCAGTGTTCCGATTCAAATTACCACACAAATACACCTCACAAGGATCCTGACATTATCCAATATTCAACAGAACTTTTGCAGGTGCACATTTTGTAAACATTTAACAGAAAACAACATATTTTAAAACTGCATTTGCGTTCGTCATACATTGGACAGTAGATGTGATCTAAGCCATGTTACAGCACAAAAGGTCAGGGAAATCTACAGGGCAGGTGGAGGGTTGGAAGGATGAGCTCTCAAGGTTTTTGTGATTTTCTGTATCATATGCAACCAGCTTGGGAGGTGGGCCTTATACAGGGCTATATTAGTTAATGTGTTCCATGTCAGAAAAAATATTGAGAGCCATATTGTTTTTCAATATCTTTCTGCATCCTTAATGATTGGCTGACTGTTTTGTCATTTCCCACTTTTCTCATGGTGATGTAAATCATCATATCACTGGGGATGAACATTTGTGAGAGTTGGGTTTTATGCTGCTTTTAGAAACATACCAGCAATATCACACAAGCTAGGGGACACCATAAATGGGCTTCACACATTGTACCGATGTGGGGAATCAAACCAGGGCCTATGGTGTGACAAGTAACTGCTTTAACAACTAGGCCACCCCACCACCGGAATGAACATTTTGAAATTTATGTTAAATTGTTAGCATAACTATCTCATGGATATTATTGCCCAAACATTACGAAATAGTTGGAATACAACATCACCACTGTATACAACACGTAAACAGATCCTAACAAATACCATGTGGGCATACAGATATATATTTTGATATGGACAAAAAGGTGTGAAAAATACTGCATCAAGGAAGGGAACAAGGTAGCAGGATTCAAAATCATGTCTAATATGTACAAGATCACAATCCTGAGTTCAGCTAATGAACACTGATAATTTCCTAACACCTCGTAACTTATTCTCTCAGTGTTTCATCAGCACAACTACATTGGCTAGAGAAGTGAAAGAATTTCATGTACCATGTAGGAGGCATCAAGATCAGTGACCTTATTTACCAGTTCTATGACGACGGCCTGGACATAGACGATCAAGTCAGGTACACGTAATCCAGTGAGTGATACGAGTCCTATAAAGTCTGGGTACAAGACATCAAGTTTGAAGACCTGATCCATTTTGTCAACTTTTACTACGAACATAGGTCGCTGGGGTCTATTCTAACCCTTGAATACCCATCGAGATGGAGATTAAAAAATGTTGGTTTGTTTGTTGTTAAACGCTGCACTAAAAACGAAGTACTAAAACAATTCAAACCTTGGTCAATGAGATCTCTTGTAAATCCATTTCAAGCACAGATTCGTTTGTCATAAAAACATACAACACTTAACCCCTCCTGATATGCTATCACAAAGTCGACAGCTCATATCATTATCAAATGTATTTCATACACTGAGAAACACTTATGAGGCTTTTATAGCCAAGATGGTTTGTCCTGCACAGTCTAGCATCCCCTTATCATCACAGAGGATGGCCTGTCTGGAAACTTGGATCCACATACAGTCCCATCATTATAATATCTGCTGTGGAATTGACATACTGTAATCCTCA